GAAATAATAACACCGTTGGAAGAATGTTGTGTATTCGAAGTACATTCGGACGAGATGAATGTTTTCGCATAACCGATAAAGTTGTTCCACCGCTGTCCAGAATGAAGCAATGATTGCTTATAGAGTAAGAAGAACCGAAGATGGTGATCAATACTTCGACAGTATCGCAATTGATGTTGTGCAAGATTTAGAAGAATTAAATGAAGATCAAAGGAAAGGCTAATGAAGTTTTCAGACTCAATAGGCCAAGACTTTGTCAAAACATTGTGATGTAGTATGCAGTTCGAGTAGTAACCCTATACAGGATGCTCAGACTTAGTATTTAATAATACCGAGTGACGGTTGACTTCTATCACATCCTTATGGAAGTTCCATTGTGTGTTAAGCCGACTTTAACATACAGAATTAGGATGGTGAAATAGGTTATTTGTTTGTGAAAAGGCTAAGTAACTTACTTCTCTAAGTAAGGTAGAATGCTTAGTTGAAGAAGAAATACACCCATAGTATTGTATGAGAAGAGATGTTGTAGTTAGGAATGACAGAGAACCAAGTTGAAGCTAGTAGAGCTTGCTGAGATGCAGCTATAATGCGGACTTCTTAGGATAGACTCCTATGAAGTAGAATTAAAAGATACAACCATGAGAAGAAAACTTACTCATATTCAGTAATGACGATGTCATGAAAGGATAATGAAACGAACAAATGTGCATGATGGTTTGGATGAGTTAGAAGATGATGCAGGTAGTTGGAGACCGTTTGTCTCCATGCTGCTAGAGTAAATTCTGGTATAACGTGTCTTGTAGAGTAGACACTACCCGAGAAAAAATTTATATGAAGAATTGGAAGTAAAATTTTTATCGACCTATGAAAAAGTATTAGAATATGCTAGATCGAGCAGATGCATGAGAAGAATCCTAGAAGACGAGTATAGGAAATCCAAGATATGTTTGATAGAAAAGCGAAATCCCCAGTTGAGTCTAGGAGAAATTGTTGTATGTACTTGTTTGAACACATTCATGTGTGATAAGTTCCTTTGTAAAAAAATCTTGATATGGTGACTTGGGGACTATGAGACAATTCTTGGAACGAGTATGAGTAGGTGTGAATGGTAGTAGAGGCCTATACTACCGGAAGCACAGGACTCACACTTGGATCAGGGAAAGTCATAAGGTTACCAAGAAACTAGAAATTGACTCCGTTTTTGTTCGAGTATGTCATTACCTTCGTTTCGGTGATGACTAAGAAGATGATTTTCGTTCAAACCTTAATGGCCGTAAAGAATCGAGTTCGACTAATATAGATCTGCGAAGTGGAATTGGTGCTTGTCAAATGGAAACACCATCGAGACCCAAATTATACTTGGGAAAATAAGAATGAGATAAGAACGAAATATCCCCATTTGTTTAAATCGTTATGATTTCGGGGACGAAATCCTCAAAAGGAAGAAGTATTTGTAACATACACGTTCAGTTATCGTGTTTTGTAACTTTTAAAAGTGAATAATATTATGAAATTTTATGTGATATTGAGTATTGAGTTCTAACAAGATAATTTTTACTAGAATTGAAGTAAAACTATGTTTAGAATCACTCAGAAGGTATTGGAAGTCTTATGAGATTCCAATCAAAAGTCAAATATTGAAATTTAACGAAAATATAAAATTTAAAATAAGTGAAATTTTATTATTGAAAATTGTAGATAATTTCGTTAGAAACATTTAGGCGAAAACCTCATCGAAATCCGAGTTATAACGAAGAAGTTATGACCAATCGAAGTTTCGCGACAGAACCGGCACGACGCCGTATAGCGTAAAAAGTGAGTTTTCAATAAACTACTTTTTAGCCTTAGTAATCTAAATGAAAGTCGTAGTATTCGTTAAACCGAGAACTTTCATAAAAAGAACGTCTAAATCTAACTTTGTATGAGGAAGTTATGATTTTTTCTAAGTTTCGGTAAGCAGTAGACAGCTAAAAACTCGAAATAAAGATTGAGTGAGTTTTAGCCGACACACCCTAAGCGAGAATCGAAGGTCTCGTGAATAGTAGTACAACGGTAAAAAGATAGACGAAAGCGGACGTCAGATGAAGAAGTTATGAAATTTTAACGGACTTTTCCTATCTCGGTCCGTTAAAAATATAATATTAATATAATATTAAAAATAAAGTCAAAATTAGCCGACGGAGTCGAAATGAAAGATGTAGAGCATAATCTCACCTACGCGTGGATATAAATAACGTCAAAAACGGAGCTCGTATGCGAAAGATATGGATTTTTGAAGTTCGGAGCACAAACTTCGAGAATTTGACTGCATTCACGACGTGAACATACATGGTTCACGACGTGAGAGTCGATTTTTCAGCCTATAAATAGAAATCGAGCCCTCCGGGTTTATGTTACAAATTCTCACTCTCATTCACTCTCTAGCCTCTCTCAAGCCCCTCTAACACCCCCCGAAGTCCCGATATCATCCCCGACACCCGAAGCAAGTCCCGACGCTCCGAAGTTTCCGAGAAAATCATATTTTCTAGCCGAAACTCTACCCGAGTAAGGCCGGTTTTCAACTAAAATCTCCGGTTTCGTCACAGAAAGTCATATTTAGGGTCGAAGTGCTGCCCAAATTAATCCCCAGTTATTTCACAGTGAGTTCATTATATAGGAACAATTGTATGTTATGTGTTATATGTGCTATGTGCTTTCCTGTGTTATCTTGATTTTTATATCATTGATCATGTAGAGCATGTCTCGTATCACTTCTGGTATTGGCTTTGAGCCTTTGGCCATGTAGAGCATGTCTCGTATTATTCTGGTATCGGATTTATGTCTTTGGCCAGGTAGAGCATGTCTCGTATCACTTCTGGTATTGGCTTTGTGCCTTTGGCCATGTAGAGCATGACTCGTATCACTTATGGTATTGACATAGGGCTATGTAGGGTTGAAAGCCTGTATATTCTAGCCAAATGATAATCCGAAATTGTATGTCTTCTGTGCCATTTGGGCCGAAGTGTTATTGATGTATATCAAGTAGTTGAAACTGTTATGTCTAATTGATTATATATTATTGAATCAAATCGTCGATTGATATGGAAAGCCTGACATATGATACACATATGCCTTTGTTGTTCATTGTTTCTCTTTGCTTCTGTCATATTGAAGTATATATATGGCATAACGTTATATTGTATCTATTATTGAACTCATTAAGCGTCACTGCTTACCCCTCTCAGTGTTTAACAATTGCAGGTAATGAGAATCCAGTATAGTCATATATTGTTGGAAGAATTAGAAGAGTTTATACTATTACTTTTGTACTTGGGTTTACGTATGTATTAAACTATAATATCCTGGGTAGTTATGTAATAAATATAACACTTTGTAATATACTAAAACTTAGTCGGTTTGTATCCAGTCTTTTGTAATCACACTATCAATGTAAAATATTATTTATAAATATGCATGTAGCATGTTTTGAAGTAATTTGGAGTAACAATATTGTGAAGTATGAAAGTTTGAGCCTTTCAATCATATGAAAGTTAGGGTCTTTAAATCATCTTTTTGAATCCCGATACCTGCTCTTGACTAAATTAAAATCCGCCAATCTGAAATAAGAAATTTCCTAAAACCAGATGTTACACATGGCTAGGAATGGTGCCACCCCCAAGGCACGACCCAAGGAGGAGGGTCAAATCCCATTGAGTTCCTAGCATCCTCATTTATATAAAATGTACCATTTATCCTGTTTAAGGTTGGATGCTATACTTTGACATATCTAAGATTTTGATAGAATTTGTTCTCTTGTGAGATCGAAACCCTAGTTGTGTTCATCCCAATAGGATGCTATACTTTGACATATCTAAGATTTTGATAGAATTTGTTCTCTTGTGAGATCGAAACCCTAGTTGTGTTCATCCCAATAGGAGCTAACACTTGATCATTGGTGGTGACTTTACTTGCTTATGGATACTATTGGGGATGAGCTATTTTGGTTTACTTGTAGATACTATCGGGGATGAGCTCTTTTGTTTCTTACGTCTATGTGCATTTCAACACTACTACATCGAAATTGCACTAAGGTATAAAGCATCTAAACCTCTTACACTTGTTTTTCTGGTTAGATCTTTCTTGCCCTGTGATCTAACATTGGGATCCTAATGACAGCCAATCCGGCCCTTGTGAGGAGTCACAACATGCCCTCCACTTTAACCATCTCGTTTTTCTGTGGGGTTGGTAACATCATCTTCAACACCTCCTTCATTATGGATGGTAGAACCCAAGTACTTCAAACTTCTTTGTGTGTAGAACTTGCTCAATGATACATACTTCTACTCTTTTATTATTTTGCTCATCTGTGAAATTGCACCATAAATATTTTGTCTTAACTATATAGATACATAATCCATTTTCTTCCAACCTTGTCATCCGGGTATCCAAACATTCAACAACGCTTCAAGCTGACTGTGGCTCCTTATAATCACAGATAGAAGCTATATTGGTGGAGATCACTTTGTGCTATACTGTTGACTCTACTAGCTTACATGAATACCCACAAATTGACATCTGCATGTGCATGTCCCTTTCATGTCTACCTCATAAATCCTTAGGAATAATCCGAGCATGCAAGAAAACCAGTACTCCATGCCGAATTTGTAGTACTCCACAACAAAAATTCCTAATAAAAAATTATTTGAAAGATTTATGAATGAAAAATGAAAAGGTGAATTGACAACAGTCACTCGTGTAGCTAAATGTTCCTTTATTCCCTGTGTCATGGGGAACTGATTTGATTGAATGAGACTCTACCTTGGGGTAAAGTAGGAACCAGATTAAACGTGTGGCTGGCTCCATTCCTAACTCTAGCTCCCAAGGTCTATGGTATTTCTGATAGATTTATCTGTCTACAATTGAACTTTTCTTTTTGAGTCATAGTCATAATAGGTTTTCATATGTATTATATATGTTTTCTTCCCATCGGCTTTGTTATCTTCATACATATCAAAAATCATAGGAGTAGAAAATGCTTAACATAGGAAAATCTTTACAGAATAGCTTAACGGCGCCATAAGCAGATAATCTAACTCGATGCATATGTATACACACACATACACACATATACATATAACATAAACACTCACTCGATGTAGAAAATATATTTTGGTCAAGAAGATGATCTGAGAAGAAAAATACTGAGCTCTTGTCCACCACTTTGGCTATTAGAGAATGAACGATCATCATGTTCAGGGTTTTTCATGTGAAACGACTCTGAGTTTGGTGATCCAATGATTCTTCGAAAGCTGGCTCGGAGGTACATGAACCCGTCACTCCCATGGTCGTTTTCCGGTGGCAAAACCCCTGCTCCTGCCGACACAGATTGCATACGTGTAAGAATAGCCATATCGGCAGCTGTCATCTTACGTCTGGTGGCATAACCAACTTTCCGACCATTACAGTACATAGACCAGACCGGCACGTCAAATATTATTGGCGGTTGTTGGCGGTGACTATTTTCTTCCTCCACCAGAGCAATGCGGAGGAGACCATGCTGCATCTCTTTTGCTAAATAAGACGTGGGAATAGCGAATTCCAAAAGGAGAAGAGGTTGTGAGAATGATGACATGGTGGTGGCGGTGGCAGTTGTCGACATTCTCCTTGACGGGGTCCGCCGGTGGTGGTGGTGGTTGTCGTCCTGGATACAAAAGCTAACGCGCCCATTTCTCTGCCCAAAGAATGTACCTTTAACAATGGTCGAGGATGATGACAATGAGCGAGTCTACAAAAATTACACAAAGAGCAATTAATTCACATTATCAACCTAACAAAAGATTTAGGGTTTCAAACGATGGCAACAATTGTAATTTCTTACAACGGTTAATGACGATGACGATGATGATGGCGAATCAGTATCGCTTGAGAAAGGCGAAGAAGAAGAAGTAGCATCTGGAGAAAAGTTGGCAGACTCAGAATGAGGTTCAAAACCAGCAGCACAACAAGCGGGGACTATGCAGTCAAGCAGGGATCTTAAAGATCGCCGTAGTCCAACCTCCCTGCTGCTGCAGTCAACGGCGGTGGCTGATGTAATTATATGCACTCCTATAGGTCCTCTTTCCCTTCCCAAATCTATCATCGTCCTCATTTTATACCAAAATGTGAAATGAGAGAGTAGTGTAGGGGGTGCTACGTAGAGGCTAGAGAACTCACTATATATAGATTCTTAGCTAAATGAAGGAGTAGACCAGAGGTCTAAATTAAAGAATGAATGGAAAAAAGGGCCTACGCGACTTCATAATCAAGAACGATAAGCAATTCTAAAGAACGATGAAAAACAAATTACGTGTAAAGAAAAGACGACAATGAAGAAGAATAATTGTACGTTGGACATGAGGGGGAGGTTAAGGGGTCCATATATGTTTGTGATTTGTGGAAGGTAGCCAACCATGAGTGACTGATTGATCCTTTATGATGGTGAAAAGTTTATTACTATGCATATGTCTTCTAGTTTCACTTTTCACATATACCATTCATGCTTAAATTTGAAGTTATTTTCATAATCCCCTTTCATATTCGGCTTCAGAATATGCACTTTTAGCATTTCTTCCTTGCCTCCTTTATGAATGATCAAGGATTCAAATTTAAGCGTAAGCATACGGTTTATCACTATGTGGTTTTAGCAGTGTGGGAATTTCGATTTCAATGTGGATTGTGTTGTTTTTGGGCACTGAGCTCTAGCGGGCTGTTATATACCTGATTTAAGTAGAGACACTAGCTTAGGAGTTGATGGAAGAATAATTGTGAGACTTATAATTAAATGATATGCATTGAAAGTCATATGTTGTTCTATGGAATAAAAGTACAGCCATGTTTATGACTTTTTGGGCAGCAGAAAAGTGAAAAAAATGTTGGGTGAACACTAATTAAGACCAACCAAGCATGCACATAGTGATGAGTGAGCGAGAGCACTTTTAGGAAAAGCATGACCAACTTGAATGATTGGACCCCCACCCACCCTTCATATGAATCAAATCCTGTAACAATTTCTGAAATTTGTAGGGTTAGAACTTGCATCAAAAGGAAAAGAGGTTGATCTTAGAATAGAAAGAACACCTAACCTTCAATCCCACTATCACTTTGATGTTGTGCTTGTGACAGTTGATGCACTTGATTCCATGTGTCCTAATTCAAGTACATCGAACTGATGTTTTCGGCGTAATTTAAATGCATGAGGAGTTACTATAGCCCAAATTCCTCCACTTAAGGGATTTGTTTTTGATGTTTTGGGTTTAAAACTCTTTCCATACAACGTTGGCCTTTTTTTTTTAAATAAATCGATAGCAATATATAATAAAAGTTCTACATATTCTTTCCTTGTAATTTTGAAAGACATTGAAAAGTTTTGTGAATTTTATCTAATAACGCGTGTGTATACATTATGTGTTTTAACTTTCTAGATTGAATATAATTATGATTTTGTATATGTGATTGTAATTTTATATGAATGAAATGGATGTT